CGATTTCAAGTCGAATTTAAAGATCAGGTTCCAAAATTTATTTTTGCATCATAAAATAACTTCCAGAAAACAACCTTCATTTGCTTTCGCCTTTTTCCATACATCTACTGTGTACTAGTATACCACAACTCCTGATGACTTTATAGAAAAAACATTTTTTAGGTCTAAATGTAGAATTGTGTTGCATTCTAAAAGTTTCCACGATAATTTTTCTACGTAATTTTAAAGCCTATTTTGATTGTAGAGGTAAATTCTTATAGGGGACCTTGCCACTGTGGAGTAAATTATATGGGAGCGTGGCTCTGTATAGTTAATTATAGGGGAGCGTGCCTCTGTATCGTTAATTATAGAGGAGCGTACCTCTGTATAGTTAATTAGAGGGGAGCATGCTTCTGTTTAGTTAATTAGAGTGGAGCGCGCCTCTGTATACTTAATTAGAGCGGAGCATACCTCTGTTCAGTAAATAAAAGGGGAACGTGCCTCTTTTCAGTTAATTATAGGGGAGCGTGCCACTATTCAGTAAATTAAAGAATAGCGTGCCTCTGAAAAGTAAATTAAAGGGGAGTGTGCCACTGTTCAGTAAATTAAAGAAGAGCGTGCCTCTGTAAAGTAAATTAAAGGGGAGCGTGCCACTGTTCAGTAAATTAAAGAAGAGCATGCCTCTGTAAAGTAAATTAAAGGGGAGTGTGCCACTGTTCAGTAAATTAAAGGGGAGTGTGCCACTGTTCAGTAAATTATAGGAGAGCGTGCCTCTGTAAAGTAAGTTAAAGAGGAGCGTGCTTTTTTCGGTAAATTATGGAAGAACGTGTCTATGTATAGTAAATTATTTGGGAGCGTGCCTCTTTTCAGTTAATTTTAGGGGAGCATGCCTCAGTATAATCAATTACAGGGGTGCGTGCATCTGTTCAGTAAATTATATTGGAGCGTGCCTCTGTATAGTTAATAAAAGAGAGCGTGCCTCTTTCAGTAAATTATGGGGGAGCGTGCCTCTGTTCAGTTGATTATAAGGGAGCGTGTTCCTGTTCAATCAATTATTAGGTAGAGTGCATCTGTTTAGTAAATTTTAGGGGAGTGTGCCTTTGTTCAGTAAATAATAAATACTGCAGTATGGCACTTTTGATATATAAATTTTGTGATTAATGTGATTTTATAGTGTTTACTTGTTTGGAGAAATGTATATCGGAATTCCTCATGTGTTTTAAATCTACAGTTCATCATGTGTTTTAAATCTACAGTTCATCATGTGTTTTAAATCTACAGTTTATCATGTGTTTTAAATCTACAGTTCATCATGTGTTTTAAATCTACATTTTATTTACCTCCGAGTCTAAAACAAGTTTAGATATAGCAAAATCATAATATTGAGCATTAGTAGAAAATTGTAACAAAAATAGTTCTGCAAAAAATGAAAAACAAATCGTCCCTTACTATTGCATAATGAAAAAAACGTGTGATTTGAATGTATATTTTTGCTTAGTGTAGTAAATGTTGTCGTCTAGTATATGAAATGCTTTAATTTGTGTTTTGTCTAATATTCTGAAATATTGGCGTAGATATTAAGCAAGTAAGGCCATGTAAAGAGGTTTCCATGTAATGAACTCATTAAAACGCATAAAAGCTGTATTTTTTGCAAACTTGCTTTCTTATACAAACTTGGTACTTGCGACATACGCTAGCCAGTACCCATAATTATGTAATATTATGACGTCATAGTCCTGTACTACACCAGTTGAGAAGGAACATCAACAAAATAGCATCGACGCAAGGGGATACCCAAATTTGTTCTTCAGAAACAAGGTATCAATAGAGGCAGAATATCACAAGGATTTATTATATTCATGCACAAATGTCGACAGTGCAATTGTTTAATTACTATTTCAAAAGTTTTCAGTTGAAACAGGGTAAACATTCACTGTTCGGTGTAAGTTTCCTAAACTTTTATCGATTGAGAAAGCGCATAGGATTTGTACAGCAATTTTATTAATTTTTATAACATTACTCTTAATATTATACATTATTTATTAAAAGTTTAAAAGGATATGCCCTTGCGCCGACGTTGTTTTGTTGATTTGTTTGTTACCTTGAATGGAAAAGAACATTTTCGTGACGTCATAATATGACGTCATAATATGCAGTTGATTTATCATGCCGTGGGTATTAAGTATATATAAGAAAATAAGCTTGAACCTTCGCTGTGTTAAAATTTCACAAATTATGCATTTTTATGGGCTCATTTGCATAGAAACGCATATATCTAGCCTGAGCGTACTTGCGTAAGTGGCGTTTTAACAACTAAAATGTCAAGCATATAATATGATAAAAACAAAAAATGTTATAACAATATTTAACATTTTTAAGTATCTAACTCATGTGTGTTATTTGATAACAAAAATATTTATTTGTAAATTTGTCCTTACGTTTTTGATAACCTAGTAAACTATTATTAACTAAAGACAATATCATAATGTTTAATAATATTTGTAAAAAAAAATTACATCCAACTTGTTTACTGGCTTTACGATCCACTCCCAAGAGACCTATTCTTCGCAGCTTCTAAAACGAGGCTAGCTATTGAAAATTATTAAGTTACTAAAACAACAATACCAATAGCTCGCTTTGAGTCAAGATTTCGTAAATTTTGTCATTAATACAATGACCATGTCAGGAAATAGAGTCCATAGCTAGTTAAGTCAAATGTTAACTGACATTTTTATACAAATGTTAGGCCAATTATCCCACACTGAATTGTCTGCCGTTTTTTTCTTTCAATTTGCTCGATCATGACAAGGAGCACACGGCAGGATTGACTGTTGGACGGGGATACTTAATCCTTAATATTTTTGTGATAAACGATGGTTGTTCAAAAAGTTCTTGGACTTCTGTCATATCTTTTTTATTTGACGTCATTTGTTATTATTTGTTTTATTTTTTTAGGTACCACGACTTATTCAAAACTTATCCAGATTTAAAAAATGCAAAAATGGGGTCGTGGAGCAGGTCAAAATTCAGTATCTTACGAAAAATATACTAAACAATGTCTGTAGTCATATTTTCTGTAAAATGGAGCAAAAACACAGAAATTAAAATTAAAATTGTTCATCGAGTCGTATTCAAAATTATGGCTTAATATTTTGCTTCGTTGAAAAGAAATCAACTTGAGAAAATAAGTAGTTTTAGACACGTCACGAAGCAGCAGATAACAATGCAATTTTGTGTTTTACTTTGGAAAACATCCTGAATAAAATCTTAAAATGTTGCAGGAATGAAAAAAATATATGTCACAAGCGAGTTGTGCACATGTGAACAAACAGTACACTCAGGCAGTATTTGAGTGACAAAGACTCTGTATCGGAAGAGGACAATCTGAGAAAAACGGTTTAGCTGCAAATTTTAAAAGTTGGAACGTTAAGGAAAAAACTATGCGCTTCAGAGTTGCTTAACCTGTAAAGTCAGAGTCAAGTAATAAAAGATAACGAACAGTATTCAAAATCAAAGTCCATAAAACAATACAAAATAGGAGCAGAGCAAACATGGCCCTCCGAAACATCAGAGGTCTGATCAGGTGTCATGGAGGAGTGAGCATCCCCTGCTGACCGGTCATACCCGCCGTGTGCTCCTCGTCATGCTCGGGAAATTACGGGAAAAAATCGTCGTCAATTCAGTGTATAAATAATGGACTAACAATTAAAAACGTCAGTCGGCATTTGACTCGATGATAAAATGTATTTGCGGACAAGTTCGACCATAACTCGCAACCACTCAAAAATCATTTTTTCCATTTTATACAAATACAAGTCTTATTTGTCATACATTTCCTAGTTTATACTGATTCTTTTAAGTTTGTCAAGAAGTTTTCCGAATGCATAGCAAAATTTTATTGCTACTCGCTGCTCCGTACCTTCCTCCAACGTCATGTTTTTTTCCCATAGTTACGTATTTATCTTTTAAACAGAGCGATATACATGTATTACATTACCTGACGGCATCTTAGACTCCTTTAAAACAGAAATTTTATTTCGTTTCAGCTCCATTTACTAGAGGTATCGCTACAGATACTATAAAGTGAAAATAAGTCAATTACTAAATTTTGACATTGCTCTGTGACCCCATTTTTTTACGTTCTAAATATTTGATGATTTTTATAGATGTGAAAATATGTCGGTTTTTTACTGCAATTATATGAATCTGTTGTTAAAATATGTTCCCCAAATTTGAATATAATATGACGTTGAATAAAAAAAGTTAAGACAAAGGTCTACAAACATTTTGAATGACCCTCGATTGTACAAGCCAAAAAATATAACGTCTGACTTCTGAAATTAAAATAATGAGTGTGAGATTAATAACACAGATGCAATCTTAGCTATTGTACATTTTCATAAAAACAATCCTTTATTTTGAACATGTATCATAAAAAACTTCATTTTTCAAATAGTTTTTAACACGCCAAAGAATATTCTTTAAAAAATTCTTGTCCTTCTAAGATGTGCTCATTGCTGTTCGAAGAAATATAATTCAAAAGTAAATAAGCCAATGATGACGTATTGTGTTATATTAACATTTGGAAGATAACGGGAGTTAATGAAAAAAACACTTCGTTTTATTGTGATATTTTGAATAGCAATTTCAAAATAAATATGCATGACAATTCATCTTAACTTCAGTAAAATCGATACTTAAACAACAGTAAAATATAGAGTACGTAACAGTTTGCCAATCACATTTCAGGCATTGATTAAGGTTCTGGTATATATATTTAGCAGTTATAAGTCCACTTGGCAAAATTTTACAGATTCACAAGAACGCAGCAGTTTTTTAAAGTAAAAAAAACCAATATGAACAATCTGTTTGTTATCACTTTAATTGTCGCCCTCACGGGTTTGTCAGAAGCCACAGTTTTTTCTCAGATATATACTTTGAAACATGAATTTAACGATAAAAAATCAAATAACGAACTTTTAGGAGAACATAATTCTCGTTCTTTGCCCGAGTGTGCCGCAATGTGTCAAGGCGATCGCGAGTGTTGCTTCTATGGATTTAATCCCCAGATGAAGAAATGTCGTACCCACAAAAAGATTTTTACGTCGGGGGTATTAAATGAGGTCGACTGGAGATACTACGCACATGAATGTATGTATAATTGTTATTTTTGTCTGAAAGCACCTGTGCCGATAGTAGACTACCATGATTGATCATCAATTTTGAAGCACCATTAATATGGATCATAGAAATAAACAACAAAGTCATTATGTGTCATATTAATTCAAAAGCATTCTTAAGAAATGTAGATTTAATACCCCCCCCCCTTCAAACCACTTTTATAATATATTTAAACTTTTCATTACTGAACTGATTTTTGCTTTTACCTAGCTAGTTGCTCAGGTGAGCGATGTGGCCCCTGCGCCTCTTGTTTTCTTTTAATGTCACTGGGTTATTACATGAGTTCTCTGCAAGTCCTGGAAATACAGTTTGAAAGAGAAATTCAATTTAATAATCTTTTGACAACGCAGTCTTTTCCATTCATTCATACCACGGAGACTTTTTCCCTTCTGGTGGTTCTTGACCCTGTAAAATGGTTCAGATGTCTGTATTTCAGTTTCATACAGTAAAGGTTAAAGGGAATGTAAATTATTGAATTGCTACCTCAATTTGTCGAGGTTTCCTCACCGCCAAGTAGTGAATGGGTTTATGTCGATAAAGTTACTGGTAAGAAGCGTTTTTTTCTTCAAAAGACTTAAAGGAATACTAGTAGTAAAAGAAATAGTCTTGAATTTCTTTTACACTTACACGATTCTGCAACGTTGAATATAGAAAACAAATCAACTGATAGTATACCTTAAATGATTTAAGACTTGTTTCTCATGTATTTTTTTTATTTCTTATAGAGAAATTCTTATGTTTTACGATGGGAAAATTGTAGATGGCTTTTGCTTATACATTCTGAACCTACATTTGCTTTGCAAATATAATTGAAATCTCCTTCGGCTTACTGTTTTATTACAAAATAAAGAACAGTTACTGATATCAATTATTTACTTTTAGATTTCAGAGTAAATGTACAGTATTTGAAAGTCTAAATGAATTTCAAATTTCAGTAATTGTGAATAAAAAACGTGATTTTTTCCTGGAATTAGAAAACGTTCATCAATAAGGTTCATTTCTTCTGAATAAAATTTCATTTGAATTGTACTATTTAACTGTAGAATAATCTTTTAGGTAATCCACTTTATTAAAAGTTTATATTAACCATATTGTTTAAGTATAATTATAACTTTTGGAAATACTAATTATCTAAGAATTTTGTTCAGGTTGTCAGGTTGGCAAGGACTTGAAGCCTTTTTATGAATCAAACACATGAATGAATACCTTTTACTTATCTCTTTACACATGAAATCCACACTCTGCTTAATGTTAAATAATACTTGTATTTTTCCCTAGGTTGCCCTTCCGGTTGGAGGCGTTACCAGGACCATTGTTATCTCTTTGAGCAGACGTTTTTAATCTGGAGCGAGCAAAGGTTGTTTGAAGCATTATATAATCATTTACCTAACATACAAGTCAGAAAAAAGGGACCATTTGTGGAATCAATTTGTGCGAATTAGTCTTAAATTTAACTTACACTAATACTGTAAAATGCATGTAACTTTTATTTGCTAGCAAAAATTATCCGTCAGTTTTGTGATGTACTTTGACTCATAAAAATCAATCGTCACGAACCTTTTTTTCTTTTTTTTTTTTTTTTTTTTTTTTTTTTTTTTTTTTTTTTTTTTTTTGCTTTGTATTTGATGAGAATATTTCTACCGTCGCGGTATATTTAATGAATAATTAACAGACTTCACTCAATGTTTTCTTAATGCCACAATGCTAAAATGTTCAACCATCTTTTGAACCTTTTGATTCTATTACAGACCTATTGTACTAACAACGGAGCATATCTTGTTGAAATTGACACCAAAGAGGAAGATGATTGGCTTGTTGAACAAATATCGATGCGCAATGGTGGTAAGTATTTCATCTAAATGAGTATACATTCTTGTTAAACATGTTTCACATACAGCTGTATATTACCAATATCCCCGAAATGAAATTAAAACATGCATTCTTTTTGAAAACAAATAATATACTGGTGCAAAAGAATTGCCGTACAAATATTCCTAACTACTTAGTACTTTATTCTAAGAAATCAACTGTTACATGTAATTTCTAAGAAATAATAATTCATTCTTCAAACACAGGTAAGAACGAAAATCAGTACCTTGGAGCAACTTCTCACGAACAACTTGGTGTGTGGAGATGGAGTACGGACAATGCTCTTATTTCCTATAGCAACTTCTGGCCAGGTCAACCAAACACTCATACCGTCGAGAGATGTATAGTTCTAGACTGGTATGCCACATATGGGACTTACAAATGGGGAGACACAAGATGTGAGATGACAAGAAAGTTCATATGTGAAAAGGATTTGTGAAGTGTAATATAGTTCCCATTATGAAAATGACATTATCCGTCAAAATCAATGAAACGAAACAAAATGAAATTTGATCTGAAACTTATCAAGATACGTTTACTATTCAAACTTTAGCTTAATATCTAAAAGCGATAAGAAAAAAGTACATAAATGTTTAAAAAAAATTTTTTTTAAAACTCCTTAATTTTGTCGATGAAATAAAATTCATTACTAGTGTTTGCATGACCTCTTATATAATCCTTGAACATTTTTAAAATAGGAATGATTTAGCATACTTGAATGAAAAAATAATAAAATAGTTTGATAAATACACAGGAAACATTATAAAGACAATTATAACATCCATGTTCTGTTTGATCTCTGATTAGATTGGATTAAAATATACACCTCTTAAAAAGCACACATAAATAGGACATGGAGAAATAAAGTGAAATAGGTGTAACTACATACTATACTAACCATTATTCACGTGAACGTGCGAGAAATATCCGTGAATTTCGCCATCTATATTAACTTGCGAATATTAATCGCTGCGAACGATTTATTTTATCTTGCATTTGTAGAGAATGTTTCCTTATCGCAAAAATTAATCGTCGCGGATTAATTTCAACTGACGAATCGCAAATAAAAGATGACCCTAAAAATAGTTGGTTTACAGTATTAGTGTTTTTAATACAGTGCAATTCATTCAGGTCAAGCCGTGAAACAAAGTTGAAATATCAGTCTTTTACTGAAAAAATGAGGGCTGTTCAATAAATAATGTCCTGAACTGTTAGACATACAATACAGATATCATATGACGTTAAGCTTGACTTTTTCGCATTATTGAATCTTTTATGAATTTATAACAATTTTTGTGACCACTTTTCATCAAATAGTTTCATTGTGAGAAGCTGGAAAACAAGGGTTATTCGAGACACTGCGTGTAAAATGAATGGTAAAGAATCAGTAAACTAGAGTGAAAATAAACGCTTCATTCAAGCTGCTGTAAAACACGTTAAGAATCCCAAAGAAACATTCAATGAAATATGTAACATTTACCAATGTCTGTTTTATAGACAAATGAGCAGATGGATTTAATTTTTTATAGTGGGCATCAAAAATGGGTATCGTCCTTGCCAACAAAAATTATAATAATTCATGTACTGTTTGCCAATTTTCAACAAACAATCACTGATGATGTATGATTGACTTTATGACACATAGAAAATTTGATGGACATCATATCGGGAGTAGTTCACACCTGTTTAATCAAACGTTTGACAGTAAAAAAGCTTAGTACTCAAAGGTCACCCTATGTTTTGAAAATGAGTGAAAATGACAGCGTGTAAGAATACCTAAACAATTATCTTAAAAAATGAAAAATTGTAGTTATCCAAGCTTGTTTGAAATTCAAACAGATAATAATGAAACCTGAATTTATTACTTAAAACCCTTAAAACAAAATTTACAAAAAGATGTACTTAACAAAAACAGCAAAGGTCTGAGAAGAGCAAAGAATTGCAAGAGCACGAAGACAGTTTTATATGCAATTTTCTTAAATATTAGTGGTCTTGTTGTTAAATTTCGTATTCGGGGAGGCAGTTTAATTTTTGGAAGAGTCTAGAAAGCAAATTTTTTTGCCAAAAAATCGAAAGGTTAATGAGAGGAAGGAATCAGAATCAGGAATCCAATACATTAAATTTCTTCATGACAGCCTCCAAACCCGCAAGTCATGAAGTGTAAAGGAGTTTGGGATAAACAGAAAGTGAATTTGTTTTACACTAACAATATTCGCTAGATCTTTCGCCTTTTGACTTGTTTCATTTTCTAAACTTTTCACAACGAAGAAACTCCAGGAAAAAAACATGGGTCTACCCAAAAATGAGTTCCAGAAGCAATTAGAAATTTGATAAATATTTGATAAAAAGAATTATCGACATGCCCATGGGTTTTAATTGATAGAGAATAGTTAAGCTAAATTATTAAGACTAAATCATTGAAAAGCGTCTTTTGCCCAGACAAATTGAACATATGTAGTTAAAAAAAATTGATAAAACAATATTATCTTAGATAATAGAATTTTGCCGCAGTAATCTGTTAAATTTCACATGGATATCCCGCATATCTCAGCACAAAAATCGCAGACGCAATTATTATATAACCTTTCATTGCGAAATTGCAAGCCATGAAGTTTCTTGGAAGAGTTATAAGAAACATTTTTGTTAGCCTGGTAGTTCGGTGGGAAAAAAATTCAACCAACCTTTTTTGGGTTTTGGTTTTGTATCATTTTGCATTCTAGTTAAAATTTGTATTTTTCTAAGAACTTTTGAGGTTGATATATTATTATTTTAGCTTCTTTGTTAAATTAAATCGAATAAAACGTTTAAACGTGTACGTGTTTTATATTATAGAAATGGCATATTTATAGTCATATTAGTACATGTAGGTCTTTTGAAGAAAAAAAACGAATTTCATATCTTAAAATGTTGCGAAAGCGTATCAGAGAGGCAATTCATGAAAGCGTAAAAAGCGTTATGAGAAATATATGAAGATCACGAACAGTATTCAATCTCAACAAGAGGCCCACGGGCTTTATAGGTCACCTGAGCATTATGCAACAATTTTCCAGTTATTGAATTTGATTCATGTTTTAAGCCAGATGCTATATGACATTCACAATTTTGAAAGAGGCGTGTATTGATCATCATAAACATTAGCAGTTGCTTAGATGAATACCCATATCAATAGGGGAACACAAATGCATTCCAACTAACCAGTAGTGCTGTGCTACCCTAGGTCCAACATCTGTTCATTTTTTCACACCCCGACCCGCTTTGAAATTCACATATCTCAGCACAGTTAGGGCCCTTGCCAATTATGCTCTTTTATCGCAGATGCAATTATTATATAACCTTTCATTGCAAAATTGCCAACCATGTTTTCTTAAAAGGCTCATCATAAAGAGTTATAATACCTCCTTTTTAAGAAACCATATATCTTTGTTTTTTAACACCAGTTGCATAAAATTCACAATTTTGGTTACTCTTGCTCATCATAACTGGTAGTTTATTTAATACCTCAGAGTAGAAGATTTTCAAAGAAAAAAATTCAACCTGGGGCCATAAAATTCACTTTTTAGGGTTTTGGTTTTGTATCATTTTGCATTCTAGTTAAAATTTGTATTTTTCTAAGAACTTTTGAGGTTGATATATTATTATTTCAGCTTCTTTGTTCAATTAAATCGAATAAAACGTTTAAACGTGAAGATTTCCAAAGAAACGTGTTTCACTATATATTATAGAAATAGCCATAAAATTCACAATATTTATAGTCTATGTACTTATTTGGTTTCTTTTCAGGAAGAAAAAAAAACGAATTTCATATCTTAAAATGTTGCGAAAGCGTATCAGAGAGGCAATTCATGAAAGCGTGAAAAGCGTTATGAGAAATATATGAAGATAACGAACAGTATTCAATCTCAAAAATCCATAAAAATACAAAATAGGAGCAGAGCAACACGTACCTCCAAAACATCAGAGGTGATATCAGGTGTCATGGAGGAGTGAACATCCCCTGCCGACCGGTCATACCCACCATGTGCTCTTTCTCATGATCCGGAAATAACGGAAAAATCCGTCGTCAATTTATGTAAAAATAATGCACTAACAATAAGTATGAAACACATCAGTCAGCATTTGACTCAATAATATATTGTATTTGCTAACAAGGTCATTGTATCAACCATAGAACTCTCGAAATGAAGATTCTAAACTAGACTGCTAAAATTCTTATTTCATCATCTTGTTTGTTTGATTAAAGTAGTACAAAACTTCCATGAAATAAATTTATTTGAATTGTATTATGTTTGTGGTATGCCTTTTAGTCAAGATTTTTCAAAAATGCTGTTTGCTCTTTTGCTTTTTTTTTTGTATATGATTTGAGTTTTGCAAATCCAAAAATAATAAACAAAAAACACAAACAGCGCATACCATAGCAATAATAAACATATTTAATAGTTGACACGTCGCGGAAGTTTGGTGGAAGAATAATCAATTCATTTATTCGAAATCCTGGCTTAGATTCTCGTTTCCGGTGTTTCTGTTAATGTGTTTTGATTAGTAATTTGAAAGATGCTTTAAAACATGCTTTACGCCTAAGTTGATGAAACAAGGAAACCTACCATTCGTTTAGGGACATTTTGCAGGTTCTTTGTTCGATATTTATAATAATTTTGTCAGCAAATCCAAGCTATCATAATGTCAATTATGTACCATCAATAACGTTTTTTCTACACAAATTATTTGTCAGGGCATTATTCTCAAACTGGTTGTCCAAGAATTTATTCTTTTTACCGATTTTGAAAAAAAAGCGCATGGTATGAAATACCGGTCAGCAGGGAGTGCTTACTTCTCCATGACATATAGACCAGCCTTGATGATATATTTAGAGCTAGGCCCGTGGTTGCGCTGGTCCTGTTTTGTATTATTCAATAGTTTGAGCATGATTTATTGTTCGTTATCTTAATATTTCTTTACATGAATTCTTAACTTTAGAAATAGTTGAATCTTGAAAAATAAAAACAAACTTTTCCATTTTCCTAAAAAATCATAACATTTGTGTAATAAAGGATGTTATAATAAATAGCAAAGGAGTATGAAATATACCAGAGGCCTGTTCAACAGAGCGAGCGCTCGCGAACATTTCTGTTGGAACTTTGGCGAGCGCTTGCGAATGTTGAACAGGCCTCGGCTCGGGAAAATATTTCAATCCGTATGCACATATTTATGGTTAGAAAGCAATATTGTATAATTACACGTTTGTCATAATTTAAAAAAAATATGTTCAAAATAACATTATCGCATCGAAGTATTGGTTGGTGATCAACAATTGCGCATTGCTTGAATGCAGGAAAGGAGAAAGAAAAGGGTCGAAAATGCTTTCAATGGTGAATGAAACATCTCGATAAAACGAAGAGTATTCATGATCAAAAGTCCATCAAAAACTCGGACCTCCAAAACATCAGAGATGGGACATGGTGCCATGGAGGAGTGAGCATCCCCTGCCGACCGGTCACACCCGCCGCCGTGTGCTCCTTGTTATGATAGGAAAATAACGGAAATATGATTCGTCAATTCAGTGTACAG